TTATTTTTCATTTTCAATAAAGGAAAGAAGAAAATAAAAGTAAGACACGTTCAAATAGTACATTATACAAATACTAAATGAACATAGAATTCACATATGATAATGAAAATTTGAAAAAACAATCATATTTTCAAATATAATCATTGTTAGTATCTGTTGTACAAGGTATATATGATGAATAATGACTTTCTGAAAACTTAACATGTTGTCTATTAGGCGTAGTTTTTCACGCTGAACACAAATATAATATAAGATTTTAAAAAATAGTCCTGATCCAATCGGGAAAACCGAAAAAAAGATAAAATTTCTATCAAAAAAAACAAAAAAAAAAGATGAAAAATTTTGTAGTAGTTATCAATGCAGAGCAATTTTGGAGACTTTGCGCACATGTTGAAGAACCATGAAATAGTGCATTTTGTAGCCCTATGTAAGGCACAATTTCTGAGACAGTTTAAGGCGTGGGTGATTCTTCTTAGATGAATATGATTTAGCACACTGAAACCTATGATTACCACTTTTGATTAAAAAACATGCCTAGCTGGTAGAAATTTACTTTACCTTTTTTTCTAATATTGAGCGATTCAAGACGATCAATATATGAACTTGTAGCTCTTCAAAAGCTCTATACAACTGTATATAAAAAATATTATTTACGAACTTCTTCGACTGAGATTCTGAAAGAATACTAATAAGCTATTTATCATCATTTAGGGATCCTACCCTCATCAGTAAATTTAATCTAACTTCTTCTAAATCTGTTGAAAAATAGATTTCTTATATACCATTCGATGCGTCTTTAAATTCTCTACAAAACCATATATAGTACGTTCTTGTTCTAACTAGGTCACAAAATTCGACAGGGTCCTTTAAAACTAAAACTAAAATAAATAAATTGTCTCAACTTTTTCTAATGATTTCATTTAATTAATTATAAATTACTACAATTATAGAAATATAGAAATCAATTTTTTTAATATTTATCTGCCACAAATTTCCTAACTATGATAAAAATATGAAATTATTTAAAATCTAAGTTAACAAATTTTTGGTAAAATATCATATGAAATTATATTTAAAAGTATTATATTCTAAAAATTTATATTCAACGATAACAGTTCAGTATAATATGTGATTAAACAGACTATTAATAAACACAGAAAATATAATCTGAATAACTACTTCAAAGAGGGTGTGGGTGTGGGCGTAGGTGTAGGTGGGGTTTGACTGGTGTGGGTGTGTCTGTGAGTGTGGGTGGTTGTTCATTTGAGCGCGGGATTGAGTGTAAATGTATTATTGTAGATGTGGTAGTGAGTGTGCCTTCTTTAGAAACAGCACACCCATATCCACACCCCACACTCACACCCATACCCCACACCCACACCCACACCCATTATTAACTTCGAACTCAGACCATCGTGTGTCAATCAACGATTCTGGTTGATATTGCTGTTGACTATGCAGCGATTTTGATGGTTGATCATTTGCCACTTTGACATCCACAATGAGGAAGAAGATATAATCTTGAACAAAAATTATTTTATTGAATACCGTCGTTCGCAGAACTTGAACTGTTTGGAATTGGAGAATGTGAATACATGTTCAAGTCGAATTCAATTGGAATTTTACTTCGTTCATCATTAATATCCGTCGATTTGCCTAAATTAACCGGATTATGAATAGAATACTCACTACTTTCGGTGGAATTCCGTTTTAATGAAGACGATATAGAGTGGCCGTCACAGTTCCGAGACAATTCACTAAAATGAATACTTTTTATTATTTGAAACGAGAACACATTTTCTCACTTTGATGAAATATCGCTAGATATTTTTTCAGAATATACTGTTAACCTATCTAATGATGAGAGAGTTAATGTTTCTTCCGATTCACTAAAAACGAATGTAATAATTAGAATATTTACATTCAAGTAAATTACCTATATTTTGTAGCTACATATTCTGATTGATCATTATTGTCTTTTGTTCGAGCACATTTGGATGCAAACTTGTCAATAGTGTTGAAATAAGCGGTTCGATTCTTTTTCTTCTCTTTTCTCTTGTCATACTTTTCTTCTACGTTAATTTTTCGTTTTTTTTTCTTTTTCTCCCTTTAGAACTTTGAATAGTCCCAAACTCATTAGTTTTTGATTGCATTTGCATAGATTGATGCAAATCCATGGTGATCTCTGACGGGCAATTGCTCTTTTTTCCCTTATGAATACTACTTTTAAGTGAGCGGAAGTAGCTCTCAATGGCGGCATTCGAATAGAGAAAAGGATTATATATTGCAGATGAATTTTTTTTAATATCAGTCGAATACCGGTCTTCAAAATTCATTAACAAACCTGTCCATAGAGGTAGATATGCCCAACATCGATAAATTATACGAATTGTTGATGGTGAAAATAATGGATTGTCGATTTTCTTATTCTTTGATTTATTCTTTATAAGATCAGATAGGATGGGAAGACGTCGAATCGCTTCCTTATTAAACGGTGATTGATGAATTATTGGAATACTTGAATGAAAATACTCATCCACTAATCTCAATTCATCGTTCGATTTTCTTACTTCTTTAAAAGATTTTTTACCATCCTTTAACATTGTTTTGCTTTCTTCATCGACGTTTAAAGCAATAGACGATATTCGTTCGAGCTTCTCTTTTCCGTTCTGCTCATTTGTACCGTCGAATATATTGATAACCATGCCAAGTGTATCATACAATTGATCAATATCATTGCTGCATTGCATGAAGGCTAATATATGTAAAACACTTCGTCATATCTTTTTATCAATCCCTACAGCCGATAAACTTCTTGCCATTGCATGTATAACATGACAGCAGCATAAGTGAATAAACGAGAGAGATCAGAGCTCTTTCTTGTTATATTTGCATTGTTTTACGTTCCAGCATCGATTCAGGTGAGTATTGATATTTTCGACGTTGAAAGCTTGAGGTACGGCATTCATAGTCGCCGCTGAAAAATCAATAATGAAAAAAGCAGGAAGGACTAATTTTTCTTCAATTTCACTAATATGATATGCTGATTTTGCGAAAAAAAACTAATACTAGGAATTGTATGATCATTTAAAATAGCATGTGCAAGTGGAACAGAATCTCCTGCATCAATACTATCTTTAAAAATGAGAGCATATAATAATAATTGTTTTTCTTCACGCATTTTTTTCAATACACCACCGATGGCATCTATATGAACGCATGAATAAGTTTCATTTTTCATATAATTGATATACCGTTGAATTTGTGATTCCGTATACAAGTGTACATGGAATGGTACTTCACTTACATCATGGATGTATCCTGTCAATAAAAATCAGAGATAATTCAATAACTTTTCAGGAACACTTAATTCACCGCGAATATGTTTCCGATTTATTATCTTCTTTTATATAGACTTGGCAAATAATTCGGCATGCTCTGAAAATGTTTTTATCAATATGCATCTTATTACGGTAATCAGCAGCAGCCTTTTTCAATGTTTCAGTTGTTGGACATTGTGTTTCATTACCTACTTCAAGTAAACCTCTATCAGCATTATCAACAAACTCACGATATAATGCTACAGGGCCAATATTGTTTGCGCGCTCTCCTAAAAAGTAGGTGTCAAATGAATAAAAATTTCTCACATGAATGATAAAATTTCCCACCAAGAAGAAGACGTTGTGAGCCACTTATATGACGTACAGATCTTGCAATAGCTGGATTATGACTTTCTTCACCAAAAATGCGGACAAGAAAAAGTATTGATGAATTGTCATCTGATTGACGACGAAGACTTATTTGGTATTTTCTTGGACATTCATCGATAGTACATATAGCGTAGCAACAGAAATACCGACACCTCTTCTTTCTTTTCCCTTCTCTAATATATGATGTTTTAAATTTTACTGGATATCTGATTCCTGACGAAATTAACTTCTCATAAAAAATGTCAGTCCAGTCATCTTTCATTTTCTGACTCGTACAACTAAACACATTTTCCCATCTAGTGACAGTAAAAACAAGTGATATTTCTTCAACGACACAACTCTTACCATTATTCTTGTTAATATTTTTGTGTTCATTGCAACTTGTATTTGGCGGCAAAGGTAGCGGCAACGATGGATCAGGAAGAAGACTTACTTTTTCTTCTAAACCAGAATTTTCATTTTCATCGATATATTCATCATTTCTATTGTCCTCTTGCCCCTTGTTTATTCCTTTCCTTTTTCGAACAAGTTTCTGAACGTCGTGACGGTTTAAATGCCATAAGTCATAGAATGCATGCCGCATTTTTTCGTCATGATCCAGTTGCAATTCATTAATAATTTCACCCGAAAGAGAACCTGGTAATCTGGCCTTCGTATTAAATCGCCATGTTTCATGTTTGAGATCATCAATACGATCTTCCAGAGAAACGATAGCACCAACCACTTGATCTAAAGAAAGTCGCGACCAAATATTCTTACCTTTCTTGTTTGACTCAAAATTCACCATTTTTCAACAACAATGGAAATAAATTGATCGCAATCGCAGAAAATATCGGTATTAATTCGTACAAAATGATGTTCAGACACAAACATTCTTTTTAGAAAATGATCTCTTTCGAGCAGAACATTTACCGTTCGTAAAAAAGATTTCCCTATCATTTTCTCTTTCACTTATAAAAAAAAACGTTAACCTGAAATTCACCAATAACAACCCAGATCCAATCAAAGAAACAACTTTCACATCCAATAAACTGCAGAAAAATACAAAAAATGTCTCTTCTTTCACTATGCGCGTACACCACCGTTTATGACACTCATGATAAACGACTTATGACTTGATTAATCTTCAAGCATGTTAAAAACTATTAGATAACAACCTCTTTAATATTCACACCCCTTCGATATCATCTTCCATCATAAAACTGTCTTGTATCGCCATATCGGCAAGCATGATAAACCCACTCAACGAAAATTAAATAAAAAATCTGCTGATAAAATTCAAGAAACGTACGCATATAATCAATCAACGTCAATTAAACAAGAAACTCGTTAAAGGAAAAATTCCATTTCAAGTAAGAATACGAAACCAGTGACTAAGCTACGTTTCTAAGTCGAAAACATGTCAAAATCTATTTTATCAGCTTATGAATCACAAATGAGAAAAACTATCGACCAATTCATAGTATCATTCGAAACAAGCAAACCGAGATTTAGGCGAATTTTTGAAGATATTTTAAGAATCATATTCTTCATCATAGGTCTTGTTCTTTTCATTATTTCTCTTGCTCTTATTGAATTCATCAAACGCAAGCTAAAGACAAAAATAAACTGTGTTGGATCAATTCTACAAGATATTGTTAACGTGTAAATTGTTTTCAATATATTTTTTTCAATACATATTATCTGTAATTGAAAAGTGCTTTATTCATATTATCAATAAAAAAAAATACAATCAATACAAATCCACATCAAAGATATAAAAATGTAGATAGATAAATAAAAAATGTAAACAAGTTACGAAAAAAATTGCACAAGAATCTTAAATATGAGCATATTATATGAATTCTTCGTGATAACAGCGAAAGATGTAAAATGTTGAACATCTTGCAGAAAAATTTTTTTTTTTATAAACACAAAAAAGGTGTACATTAACTCTTCTTAGTTTCTATATTCAATCTATAAATCTTACGTTACATAATGCTCGAAAAACAGACATAAAATATAGTTTATATATTTTTGTTTAAATAAATTTGTCATGAATATTTTCTCAAAAAAATAATTGTAAAAGTACAGAATCTCATTTGTAAATAAAACAAAAGATTTTTCAAAAAACATAAATTTTCATCAAGAGTTCATGATACTTTCATTTATGCCTATACTAATTGAAATTTCATATGACCTGTTTTCGCAAGAAAATAAAAAAATTGAAAAATCTCATCAAAATTAATTATCACATTTTATTGAGAATGAATAGTAGCACACAATAATAGTAGCCACAAAAAAATTATGAAAAGACTATGAAAGAAAAAGTATATGAATTTTTTAAAATTCCATCATAACAACACATAATTCATAATAAAATTACTGTCAATAACAACCATCCATCTCTAAATGCAAACAAAACAAATCAGTTTTCATTTTACCTTTATGATGCTCTTTATGCTTGACGTTATTTAAATGTGAGAAAGATAAATTTTGCATGAAAAACAAGTAATATAATACTATAAGATATTATTTGAAGATTTACGAAAAATATTTTATTGCATTCGAGTAGTAAAATAAAATAAATAGTATTGAAAACATACATTAGTATAACAAACTTTCATTGGACGTACTTGAGCAATAGAATATCGTCTTAAGCAAAAAATAACAATACCTACAGAAAGAAAAACATGAAATAATCTAAAATTTTCATTTTACTTTAATCATTTGAATTGAGATTGACATAAATTTTACAAAAGGCTCAGTTTTTCTTCTGATAAAAACAAAAAAATTCATCGAGCACTAAATATCAACAATTTTAAAACATTTAATAACAAAGATGAGAATTTTGTTCAATTTGTAGTAAAATATGTCGATTTTGTTATTGTTATTGTTGTTATTATTATTGTTATTGCTATTGTTATAGCTGATGATGATCGTTTAAGATCGAAAATTCCAAGAATTAAATAAATAAATAAAATATCCAACTGAATCAATATCGACATATTTTACTACAAAATCAACAATTTATTTCAAAAGATAATAAGTAATAAAACAAATCATGTCACCTGGAAATAAATATTAGATAATATGATTATGCGAATACAACTGAAGAATATAATGCCATATTCAGATTCTATATAAACATTGATAATATTTGAAATAAAAATAAAAATATAATTTAATAAAATGATAATAATAATTTTTATTCCATGTTCACTATGTAAATGTCAATAAATAATTATATAACGTCAAAAAAATCTATCGAATGAAGCCAAACTACTTTTAGCGAACTGAATCTTTGTTAACAATTGAGTATTAGGAAATAAATCGATATATTGACAAAGAAATTGAATTTTCTTGTGATTAAAAAAAATTTCATAAATTTTTTGAAAATATACCAAAACAATATCATACGATTTAAAGATTCAATTTAGAAATGAGAGCATCTACGAAAACAAGAGAAAATCAATGAGAGATTTTTTTTAAAAGATTTTACATTCAAAAATGAACCTTGATAAATCACTTTAAGAAAAAAAGTCACTATGACTTCTAAATGAGAAAAAAACATTAAAGTTTGATACTAAAATTTCAAACAAATATATTGTTACTCTATATCGATTTCGAATAAATAATATTTCCGAAAGTAAATTTATCAAGTACATTACTATCCATTAGATATATTTACCGAAAGAAGAATACGTCGAATGCATCAGCATAAAAGATATCTGTTACTAAAGACAACAATAATAAATAAAATTGATTGAATAATGATACTAATTTTTAATCATACGTGATTCATATGAACTCTGGTGATCTTCATGTGAAGCAACACTGAATATAATTTTCAAGTTAAAAAATAACTTCAAACAAAAATAATTCGATCATAAATTGAAAAATGTATTTTTTGTACGAAAAATATTAACACCATATCAAAATAATAAAAAATGATACACTAGTATAACAATGTGCTTTCTTCTATACTTTCTCATTTCTTGAAAGGAAAGTACCAATGGTTTTTTTATTTTCCTCCGCATAGACGTATGATCACAGAATGA